CATTTGTTGATGAAGAAATCTATGAAATAAAAAAACAAAACCCTGAAAATATATTTAAAAAAAAAACAAAAAATCGAAATCGAAATAAAAAGCCAATGGTTTGACATTTTCCAAAATAAAAAATCAAAATTTCCAATCTGATTTTGGTTTTACAAAAAAATGAACCATTCTCACTTATGTGAATTATGACTATTGGTTTGGCATGCGGAATTAAAGAACACACAAAGAACACGGTGATTTGGGTGTTTAAGAGATGCATTCGATTATGAAAGGTGTTTACAAAAAAGGATCTAGATCTAAATCTACACAATTAACACACACTAACACTCTCAATGTTACATCTCTCAAGCACACCTCAAATGTGGTATGAACCCACCTTATATAGATGTATTTACATGTCTCTCTCTCTCTATCTCTCATGTCATAAAGGAAGAGTTTTGGATAGAAAATTCTGAATTGAGCGCTTTCTCATTCCCTTTTTGGTTTTATAATCATTTTTCGATTATAAAAAAGGGGAGGGATTTAGATATGGAAATCCGAAAGTTGAATTTTTGTAAAACCAAAATCAGATTGGAAAATTGTGATTTTTTATTTTGGAAAATACCAAACCATCGGTTTTTTATTTCGGTTTCGGTTTTTCGTTTTTTTTAATATATTTTTCGGGGTTTTGTTTTTTTTATTTCATAGATTTCTTCATCAACAAATGTTGCTACAATTTAACAAAAATAAATAATTTGCTAAAACATAATACATGAGGAAGTTTGTTCACATTTAGTCATTGAACGTTTTAGAGGGAAACGAACTTTCGATTTTGTTCACATTTAGTCACTAAACTTTTTTTCGTTATCTATTTGCCACTAAACTATTGAAACTGTTCACATTTTACCCTTATGACCGGTAACAACCGGTCATAAGGGTAAAATGTGAACAGTTTCAATAATTCAATGACAAATAGATAACGAAAAAAAGTTTAGTGACTAAATATGAACAAAATCGAAAGTTGGTTACCCTTTCAAGTCATTATCCCTATATTTAATCAACTAAAGATTGAATTTGAAGGAAAAGACAAAATCTATTCTTACACCGGTGGATGTTTTTTTGATGGGTTTGCTTTTTATATATTTTTTCCGCTTTTGCATTCTTTGGTTTCCACGTGCTGGACAAAGCCACCATATACGTGTTGCTCTCTTCGCCACTCTGATCACCTATAAACATATCATATTAAGTCGGTAAATATGGAAATTAAGGTAAAGAATAAAATGTACCCATGAAGGAAACGTATGAAAAACAAATTTCATACCAATGTGTTAAGTGATATGATTCTCAAGATAAAAAAAAGTTTAGATTATTACCTTGATGATTTCTACCGGTGAAGAGTACCTGGAATCATATTGATTTTGTGAATATATTTATAGCATAATATAAAATCCCAATTACTTATTTAGGAAGCTACTGACTTTCAACATTGGAGTTTCCACCTTATAAGCAAAGCGATTAGCCCCATCTTTGTTATCCCATCTCACTCAAAGCCAAAGCATCCATATAAGGTCGAGGATATCCGGGTCCATTTGTGGTTACCCGACCCGGCGACTGCAAATTCCTGGACTTGATCCCAAAATCATAAGGAAATTGTTACTTCTGAAAGTCGTGAAGAATTGCTTCGTGTCAAGAACTTGAGGTTGGTGATGATTATGCATCAGAAAGGGTTTTTGCCATGAAGACATTGAATCCGATCATAATTTACATATTTAATTGGCGCCTGATACCAAGACCTCTCAGAATTTCAAATCAATAGTTGTAAACACCAAAACTATTATATATTCTTTTTTATTTTAAGTTGTTTAATTTAAAAATATATACTTTTAACACAACCCGATCATATTTACATATTTAATTATTAGTAATATTATAACAATCCAACTAATTCATGTGTAATGTATGTTTTAATGCCTAATTAAACCATTATATAATCTTTTTTATTTTACGTTGTTTAAATTAAAATATATTTTTTTAACAAAATCCGATCATAGTTTACATATTTAATTATTAGTAATATTATTACAATCCAACTAATTAATTTGTAATGAATGTTTTAATGCCTAATTAAATTCCATTTTCGTCTTACCCAGTTTTACAGTATATATATATATATA